CTCTCCCACACCTTCTTTGAGAGCATGTACACACTGTCAAAATCCGTGCGGATCGTGGAATTTCTCCGCGTCATCCGCCGAGTCTCATCCTCCCCTTCCCAGACCTCCTGGACGAAAAAGAGGGCGAGAGGGAGGGAGGAAGAGAGGAAGGAATGAAGGGAGGGAGGGAGGGAGGAAGGGAGTGTCAGAGGCGGCGCCCTCCCCGGTGTAAAACGAAACCGAAACTGGCTACTCTTCCCGTTTAAGACCACCTCCTCGGCGAAAGAATCTCTTTTCCTCTCTTCTACTCTGTACATCTACGTCCTCTTTACTCCTAAGGTAATGTCATTTCCCCCTCTTTCCCTCCCTCACCTTGCGCTCTTCTTGTTCCTCCGACGGCGTGTAGTCTTCCTGAGTCTCTGCGCGGACCTTATGGTGCACAGAGGCCGGCAAGCCCTCCGTGCCACGTGACTGGTTCTTCCACAATTCAGAGATACCATAAGAAAATACCGGGGAGGGAGGGGGAGGGAAGAGAATGCGATGAGCGGCCCGGGAGGGTAACCTCCTGCACTTCCACGCCTCGACGACTTTGCCTACGCGCGCATGCCCACCCTTGATGTGGAAAAAAAGGAGCTTTACGAACATACACACTGATCTTGGACACTTATATTTCAGTATTGCTCTTAACTATGCGTGTCGAGGGTCCATAATTTCATTTTCATTTTTGGGCCATGCGGTATCTGCAAATCCCCGCCCGAGAGAGGGTAATAGCAGTAACCAGGCAAAATACAAGCCCTGAGTCGACAACGCTCGTGCATGCCTCAAGTTATTCATACAGACTATCAAATTCACTCACCTGCTGCCCCATCGTGGAAGTACTGGATTTATTGCCCATTGGTTACGCTGACTTCGACCGCCCTGCTCCTTGGCTCTTACTGAGGAAGGAGGTCCGCCCGAGATATAAATTGACCTGCGGGAAGAAATGATACCCAAAAACCAGAAAAAAATGTCATCCAAGTACTCAAAGCGACATTTTTTCTGTGTTGGCCTCCTCTTAATCGCAGTCGCAGGCAAGCGGGCAGGGAACATGGGAGCGGCGGCATTAGTGCTGTAGCAAACGTTCCCGGGGGCGACCACTAACCCTTCAGATCGTTTTTGCCAGGGGGGAACGCATTCCGATTATTTTTTTTCTTGGGATCGAAATCCCCCCGACGCAAGTCATCGTGCAAGTCCCTTTCGCCCTTATGTCTGGGCCTTTTGGGTGCTCGCACACGGGAAATGTGGGCCGGTGGCATCAGGGGAACCCTCAACCTCTACTGGCCATGCTTTTCACCCCCTTTCCCAAAGAGAAAGCTTCCTTTTGTTTTTCCTTGGCTGTTGGTCTGGCAAAGGAAGACAATGACCCGGACGCTCGAAGAAGTGGTCACAATGCCACAGAAAAGCAATAGGAAGGGTCGTGTTGGCCCACCGAATCTCTTTGTGCAACAGTTCTGGTCTCCTACAAAAATAGGGGAGTCGGGATAAAGTCGGAGAGAGCAAAGCCCGGATGGCCCCGGTCGCCTCGACCTCCAGGATGGAAAATTCTGCCTGCACCAAACAAGACACTCGTCCGACACGGAGCAAACCTTTGCGAGTGATTTTATAGGCATGGTGTGGTCATTGATGTGCTGCGTTTCAAATGGAGTGTGGAATGAAAGCACGGACCCTAACATGCAATTATTCATGCAGCGGCCGACCGTTGTGTTCTATATCAAACTTTTTCTTGATCGGCTTCAATTGAGTTGTGTCTTTTTATCCTGACAATATCTCCCTCGATATAAGTTGATAAAAGGAAAATAGTGCGCGGTAGTGATTATGCCCCAAGTGGACAGGAAGTTTTTTCCGGAGGAGGGGAGGCTCGTATTTCTCCCCATTTCTCAAATTTCACTCAAGAGGTCTCAATGCAATCATTTCATTGCTTCCCTATTGAACCTCGACGTAAAAGACACGAAACTGAGATACTTCGTGCCATTCACGAACTATATGTTTAAAAAAATCGCCCCCAAATGCTTAGATGTCTCCCCGTGAGAGGGCCAACAACTTTACCTTGTCATTCACACGGTTCCACCATCCCTATCTCCTCCCGGTACCGTGCATACCATCCCTGAAACCCCCCTCGGAGGACCAAGACCTGTGGAACCCCCTGTTCTCGCCTTCTCTCTTTTTTACTTTCATTCGCCGGCAATGTTTCCTCCCCGTCGTTTCGGCCGCTGCTCTGATTCCGTTCCTGTTTCGTGGCCGCCCCTCCATCCTCCCCCACCGCGCAAGAAAAGTGCGCCATCAAACGAGCGCTGCAAAAGGGTCCCCGGACTTGGGAAAGCATGCAATGGAGCACAATCATGTCATGGTCCTGGCAAAGAATACAGGCAGGAGTGAGAAAAGAGGGTGTCATGACTGAATGGCTTGGAACACAGGGCGGGACTGAAGGGACACCCAAAAAACAAGAGAACGATAGTATAAGACCAAAGAGACGTCCCTCAGCCCGGCGCACAAGATCCCTACTCCCGTGTGCGTGCATGGCCCACGACGAAGGTCCAGAGAGATGAAAGGGGCAGCCCTCTAATTGTCCTACCTTCAAGGACTCAGCGAGGGCGACGACTCGCTCCTCATCCCGCCAGTCTGTGTGTGTGGACGCAACAGGTTGAAGATGTCAAAGAACCGATCTCAGTTCAATGTTTCCAATGTAAGAATACCGGTATAAAACGGAGGGAGGACTCTTTTCCCCTGATGCTCGTTCTTTCCACCTGTCTCTGCCCTACGCACCTTCGCTGGGCACGTTGATTGCCCCGGGAAGCTTTGCCACTGCCATTTGGCGAAATTAAAGAGCGGGAAAAAAATCAAAAATGAGCTCTTCTTTCTCCCTTGTCTCCATCAATTCCACACATCCCCCCGTCCTTTCTCCACCTGTGTAGTCGTCGTCGCGCACGTCCAAGATTTGAAGCTTGAGAGAACGCTCTCCGCGGCGTCGGGCGTGAAGAATCGCGAGTAGCTCTTCTTGCTCGATGTATGCAGGGCCTGAAAGAGCATGGGACACGGAGGAGGAAGACATGGCCAGGTGGACGTCGGTGCCGCTGAATGTCGTGAAGGCTCGCCTCGCGTCAGGACGTGGAAAGTTGCTAACGATGCTCCTTGTCCCCCATGAAGGGCAGAGGCTGGCTATGGAAAAGGGTCCTGGAGGCCTCACAAAACAATAAGAAAGCGGTATTGTCAAAAAGAGAAGAAGGGCAGAGGAGGAACGAAAGTAGCGAGCGAACAGAAAAGGTCGGGGGAAGGCGCCGCGGAAAAAGTTGCAGCTGTCTGGTCGAACGCGGAGAGACGAGGAGGGGTGTCCCGGCATACACCAGGCCCCGAAGGTTTTCCACAAAGGCGTATAAAGGCCTGGAAAGCCGTTGTGAAATCAGATGAGGAAGCAGATACGTTGTCTCCTAGATCCTGATGGGACAAATGGGACGGGAAAATAGAAATTGGAGGAAGATGAGGACGAAATCTCGTAAAATTTGCCCGCTTTGTAAGCAATGCATGATGCGAGGGAAACGATGGAAAAAAGAGCGACAAAAGCAGAGAATACATGCAGACATTTTAAATAAAGTTCGAGATTTTTGACGGAGTTCCGGGGTTAGAACAGCTCTGGCCCTGTTGCAAGTGTTTTTATAAAACGCAACAGCAGGAGCCGTAATGACGATCCGATGGCAGAGAAAAAGATGGCACTCGCATACGCAACTTCGTCACGATGATGTCAGCGTTCTAGATAGGAAAAAAATCATCGACACAGGATAAAAGAGTCATGGAAGGTGGACGCAAATATGAAAGAAGAAAGAGAAAGAACAGGTGTTATGAGGCTCGTTGCTTTTCCCACCTCGCTGTTTTCCTCAGTGCTACATAAAATAAAGAGAAAAGGCACCCACCCGTCACCGAGTGCACAGGGGGATAAACCATGGCTTCACGGTGAAGTAGCTGAGAGTCTGCAGACTCGTAAGCTTTCTTCAAAATTTTGATGCAAATGTGCTGGGTGATGGGTAAGAAAGATGGCTTGACTAACCTCCTCCCTCCTTTCCAAACCCCAAATATACAGGGGCCACAACATATCAAACAACGATCTGCACATGTCGCACAATGAAAAAGACAATTCGTTCAATCACATTCCCAATCCATCGCCCACCAAGCACATTGAATGCCGGCGCCAGCACTCGCAAGTCGAGCAATGACAGCAGTGACGGCAGCGGTAGCATCAGTCCTGTCCCCCAACACAGCCACCATCCTTCTACTCTGAAGAGAGCAAGACCGCAACAGCATTACGAAAAAGGGCAACGTCTAACGGCTAACGAGGCAATGGCGTCATTACCACCATTCCAAGACTCTGTCACGTCCCAACCGACGCGCTCACAACAAGGCGAAAAGAATACCTCCCCACTCCCCCCTCGGGCGCCCTCCCTCACAATCCACGTCCAAGAATGTCTCGATGAAGCCTTCGGATTGTATGTATGGCCGTCGTCCGTAAAACTAGCCTCGTATCTGTACCATCTGTTTGAGAGATACCCGGACTTTTTCCGAGGCAAGCGAGTGATCGAGCTGGGCGCTGGGTGAGCATGGCAGAGGAGGGAACGGCGGAACTTCGGGAGGGAGGGCGTTACGTTGACAGGCAGCAAGTAGAAAGAGAGGGGGCAAGGGAAGACAAGGTAGCAAGAGCTATCTTGTAGGCCCTGACCCAAGGCAATCTCTCCCTCCCTCCCTCC